CGGACTACCATCACTTGCTTCTTGGACATGTGTGTTACGTTTGACAGTTGACCATGCTGTTCTCTGGAGTTTTCTGTTAAAAAGGGGAATGGCTGAGAAGTATTTGCATTCTTCAAGCCATTTACTCTCGAGCCGAGCGCGTGTGTACGGCAGGTTTTCGCCTTCCTTTAGTATCACCAGTTGTGTGAAACTGGGTTGCCACGCATCACTACTTGTTCCACTTCCCTATGGATATCATACTGGTAAATGTTCTAGAAAATGCGGACCTTGTATGGTCGAGTTACTCCCGGGTAATGAGCTCAGCGACTTGGAGTATGCTAATAACATCGTCACAATCCGTGACTGCTCGCATGCTGCCCAGGACATGCTGCGCAGATTGGCGATCTTTGACCTTCCCAAGTGCAAGGAGTTGTTGGGAGCCGCTCCTACCCTCGCCCTCTCCGGCCCTTCTATAGATCGGTATACAATTACTTTGACTCGAGAGTTGCGTTAGCGCAAACTGATTAACGGATGTGATCAATTTGCGCTTCGCAGTCGTCGACCCATGAGGCCTTCAGCGGGTGACTTCCTATCTGGTTCGTTGGGATTCGGAGTTACTGGATAATTCAACAAAAAACTTTCCAATCTTTCATCCAGCGTTCCCTCGCCTTTCGATTTTAACAATCCACGTTTTAGGTTGTCGACATACCTTTCATCTTGCCCATTTGATTGGGGATGATACGATGCATTCCTCATGTGTTGGATTCCATTGTGTGCGCAAAAGTCAGCGAATTGATAGGATGTGAACTGTGATCCGTTATCCCATATAATCGTTTCCGGCAGACCATACTGACTGAAAACACACTTCACCGCAAGGATCGTGCTGTTTGCGGATGTGTTTCGCATCACAATAACTTCAGGCCACTTACTGTATGCGTCAACTGGTATGAGAAAGTAAGTCCCCTCAACTGGTCCTGCAAAATCTTCATGTATCCGCGACCAGGGTGATTCGAGATTCGGCCAAGATTGCAATGTTGTCCGCACCGGTAACTTGGAAACACTGCAGCATTTAGAACAGGATCGTACAATGTCTTCTATTGGTTATCACGTTTGAGCAACTTTAAATAATTATAACGGATACTGAACGAAGATGTTTGCTCACCGAAAATGGACGTCAGAGTTTGCACAGTCTCATCGAAGCAGAAATCCCTTGGATTCTTTAGCAGCACAAAATTGGTATAGCGTTCATGCTCAACTGCACCGAGTTTACGCAGCAACAACCGAACTTTCCATGCATCATCTTGCGCCACCAACTCAACACAGAAAATATTTTCATATTTCTTGAACCAGGAATCAATGTTACTCCGTTTGCTTCATCGAAAACGAACTCTGTGATTGCTGTCGTGACAGTGTCTACTGAAGACCGTGTGCCAGCAGCTTGGGGCTCAGATTGAACGCGCAGCTTCTGTGCAAATAACTCGAACAATTGCCTCTGGGATTTCTCGAACTGGAGCTGCTGTTGATGGAGAAGCTGTTGCATCTGCTCAAATGAAATGGCCATTATTGTCCAACTCCTCCATCGCTGGAACTCTGTTGTTGTTTCCACAGACTGTACGACTAGCTTGCCAGAAACTGTTGTGCCGCCTCCAACCGGTTCACTCCGCAACAAAATGAGAACGCCAAGATCTGCCGGACTGAGGGATTCGTATTATAGGAGAGCATAGCGCAATAAATAGGTTGAAGACAACTACTAACACAACGATATTGGAGGTGCTAATTAATGCTAATTAACACAACTCACATGGTTCAAGTTCAAAGTTCGGCTTGCCGCTGACCCCACGTTGATTCGCGTTTTCCTCCTCTCGAGTTCAAGTGTGAAATTCTGTTTTTCCATGCAAGTCACAAGCTTTGGCCTGAATCAGTGACGCCAACCCGGACTTGATTCTCAGACAGCGCAATTTTTCTCGAAGCAGGCCGAGACCTAACATTGGGCTGTCAGAAATGTCTTCAGACGTCGCTCTTAAAAAACTGTATTCAAGTTGAAGAAAAGAGTGGTCTGGCAGGACGAGATCAGGTAAATAGGGATGCGGTGGAATAATTGAAGACTCAGTATGTTCAATTTGACAGCTTCTACACATTTCTGTTTACAATCACTGGTCAAACATTTCAGCATCTTCCTTGCTGGAATCTTACTCATATCCTGGATAGTAGAGATAATAAACCCAACATCCTCATACGAGATGTCCTGTATCTAGGACATCTTCTTTGCGCATATTCACCAGTCCTCCACATTCAGTTCATAGGCAGCTTCTCAGGTTGCTGCGACAGTTGAGGTTTGGGGACCCCAACTGCGGAACTCACCTTGAATGTTAAAATCACCATTCTTAGAACAAAATATCCAGGTTTTGACGGTAATGTAGTAAGAACACTTCTCCCACAGCGTTGGTAGTGTCTCACTGTAAATTTCCTTCGGGAACATTTTCTGGAGACAAAAACTTCATAATCATTTTGCACGTCAACTAGGGGTGCTTTTGTGACTCAGTACCTTGCAAAGACAAAAAGATGCAGCAGAGACATACCAGCTGAGCCACCAGCACCGAATTTACATCATTCCGGATAGCTAACGGCCGGTTATTTTACCGTAACAATTGTCCGAAATGGGATTGTGGTTGTAGGGGAGGCTAGGCAGGAGGAGGAGAGAAAGAAATTCATACTAGAAACGTCATCGAAGTCAGCTCTTAGCCATATACACAAGCGTATCCAGGCAAACGTATTCATCGTCTTTCATACTCCAACCACGGATTCGAGAGGCTCCAACTGAGGCCCACTTTGAACTTCCTCATTCTTCTTGACCATGCTGTTGTTTGACCACCCCTTCTTTTCTTCTATGCACACTCCTGGTGCGAAAACAACGCAAGTCGCGAGAGTCGGTGAGCTGTCACGCACAGCACGTGGCCCAGCCATCGGAGGCGGGTACCTGATTTAACAGTACTGAGCGGTTCACTTCTTCATGTGCCATAAACAAGGCGTGAAACACGCTCGTTGTTCGCACGATTTTTCCACTAAATATGAGCCAAACCGCGACGGCACCGGTAGTCGAACGTAATTAGGCTTTTTATGTTGCCGATTTAATGGGCCAGATTTCGCAACCGTACAGTAGGGTTGACCGTACGGTTGCCTTGTAAACTCCACCCTTCAGGATGATGGTAATGTCGCACCGACGCCACAGATGGCGATGGTTAACTTAAGCGCCTCGTGCTTTTGCTATACGGTTCGTGACCCCATCTTCAATTCCAACAGCGCTGTTACAACTGCTTTTGTAGTTGCATTTGTTGTACGACTTCTAGGTGATCACCACCAAGGATCAGCGCAGGAGACGGTCCCTGTCAATCTTGAGGAAAGCCTTGTAGCGCTTGTACATATCTTTCTTCCCAATTGTACCTTCCTATTCTCATTTCCATTATTATTGTACAGTTTTGTTTTAACTGACCAACAACCGATAACACACTTTTTCGGGTTTCGATTCGCCTTCTGGTTTTGGCTACGCGTGTTGTGCTGTTTGTCGTCGTCTGTCTGCTGGCCTCATCCATCGATCATCGGATCTAACGCGTCGATTTATAGTGCAGACTAAGTTCCGTCTTCCGACCAGATTGTGCGACTAACTGATGGCATAGCGAAGATCGTGCTTTACCCAAGGTCAGCTACAGCATTCTTATTTATAGACTGAGTTCTTATATGTAGTTAACCCCCTTACGTTTGGCCTTTCCACTACAGCCTTGCACTTCTAAGGTGCAAACTATGGCCCGAAACGTCTGATAGCCAGTGCTGATTTGTCCAGTGCCGCTTGACACGTTTGGACGCTGTCACATAAAAGGGCAATGTTGCCAGCATACTCCAAGTCAAAAAGTCGTTCACCTGGGAACAGCTCCACACCTTCTAGGTCGTGTCCCGTGAACGCCGTTTCCATGCGTCCTTCAATAGCGAAGTTGAAGGGGAATGGTGACAGCGGGCATACTTGCCCTACACCGCTACATCTATTGAAGAGCGGCAACAGCTTGCAGGGAGCCCTGACTCTGCCCGAGCTACTTGCGTATAGCACTCGGATGATATTTACATATTACTCAAACGACACGAAACTGGATTCTACTTCTACCTAAAAATGACCCATTTGTTAAAATCGTAACTACGTGATATTTGCCTAGGTATATACTAAAATATTAAGGTCTTATATGCCCCTACACCGTTTCCTATCTTATCCGGAAAGCAGCAAAGCCCGGAACGTTTCGGTACCCTCTCGTATATGGTTTGTGGATTGCATCGTTGCATTAATCCGTCGTCCGCTATGATAATACCCATTCCATTATTGGGTTTGCTTTCCACCAGCTACTGCTATTTCACTGCTATCAATCCCGCACTGAAGATGCCACCTGGAATGGTGGCGAAACGTCTACAACCAAGTTACCCAGCTCGGAGAACTCCACAACAACTGAATACCCATCGTGTTTAGGAAACAGATTGCTCTCTCAGGAAACATGTTCGTAATATTACTTTGTTCCACCATGACCTTAGCCTAATTGTTTCTACTGTGTCCATACCGTGCTAAAACTAACCGGGATATTTGCTTTCGTTTTTTGCACTTCTTTTTATATAGCCGCTCATTTTTTTTCATCTAGATCATTCCTCTTCCTTATCATGCCGTTTTCCGCAACACACGGCTGATCTTGTAAATCTAGTGCCTATACTCAACTGTGCTTGTGAATTGATTCATATGACGTGTTACTGTGGCTACTTAAACGATTTGTTGTACACGATGTGCTTTTTTTACATTAAACCCACCTAGGTCCGTTCGATCATCCATCGATCGGTTCCGTGTTTGCTCCGTCAGGTTTGTGTTTACGATCGATTGCGTAAGAGCATTTGTAAATTTCATCCACCTCGTTCGCTCTCGTGTTCGCTACACTTCTCCCTTGCTTCTGTTGCTTATATATTGCTACTTAACCGGTAACATCTATCTGTTGCAGAAATTTCAAGGAGTCGCTACTTGTCAGTTTGACGACACTCTACAAATCATCGTCGATCGAATCGTAGACGCCGGTGTAAGTCATCATCCGTTCGGTTCTCATCTCTCTGTCATCTGCTTGTTCATCGTGTTACCAAGCCAAATAACTGTCCGTTTTAGTATAACAATGCTTCTCGGTCGGATGGGTTTCATATGGCTACTAATGGATTAGACATTAGTGTGTAATACGTTAATCAAATGCTTTTTGGAACGCGAAAATTCTCAGTCTTGAAACCGGGACAATTTGGCATGCACACCAGTCACCGATTTTGGCCAAACTCTCCGCAGGCGTGTGTGTGTGCGCCCGCGTTCACGTGGCAGTAGGCGCGCATAAATCGATTTGTCGCTTTCAGCAGCTGGGCGGATTAGATTTCACGTTGGGGCGACTTTGCATCCGTTCACTTAGCGTATGCATTTTGATCGGCGCTCGTTGGCAGGCTCGGTTTTTCTCTTTTTCGATCAATGACACTGTCCTTCGGGATTCCAAGTCCTACACTTGAAAAACATGCATCTCATGGTGTAACGCACGCGCATGCCTTTGCGAAACACGGGCTTTGACGTCAGCGCGAATCGTATTGGATAGAGCAGTCTATAACGGTCGAGTTTGTTGTTGTCCATCATCAGTGCATTACAGTAGCCTAGGAATTGCGTGCCATTAGCAAATAAGCACTGTTTTTATTAGGAGTTTAGCGCAATAAATTTCAAGTCGGATACTCCCGCAGGCGCCTGAAAACGCACCTAACAGTAGTTTCGTCTTGTCAGTATTGTACACACTTGGCGTCTCAGGCTTCAATCAATGATCCCAATTTTGAACCATCGATTTTTCGTACACCCCTTGCGATTGCTTACAATGAATTTCTCACAAATTCGATTAAATCCATTAACTATACTCGGAGATCCAGGTGCTTTGACTAGCATCCGCTTATTAGTACCAATTTAGGGCTCTTAGGCTTTTTGTGTACGAGGTACAAACAGGCGACAAATCGGGTCATATGATTCGTCGGAGAAATATTAGGATTATGGGCTAGTAGGACCGTAGCTTTAAATCACTGGATTCAGTGTAAGATCCACACTTACTACATCCTAACTGCTTCTTGCTGCATGGGTTTTCTATTCACGAAAGTCGTATGCATCGATTCGACTCAATCCGTTTTCTCGCGCCCCCTTGACCTTTCATCGACCGCCTAATCCGGAATTTCACCTAATAAAACGCGTTATCCGCAATAATAGTGCCCATGAATAGGCTTCCAGCACTCTGGCAAAGAACGTGAACTGGCTGGTGTAGACTGCTCAGTCAGCACGGTCCAGCTTTTTCCCAACCCTACATACAAATCTGTGCAACTAACTGTTACATATCCTCCATCAGTGTTTATTTCGCCGCCCCCATAGCTAAATAGTATTAAACGACTTGAAATTCTAGCATATTTTAATGACCACCTTCCTCGTCAAGCGTATTCCTGTGATTACCACCGACGGTGGTGAACTCTTGTGATCGCAGCGCTTTGCACGCACTTCGCATATGTGGGACACCGATAGGACGCGCCACGTCGTCCTGATCGTGGTCCGGTGAAATGTCATTCTGCTTTGTACCGGGATTTGACTCGCACACCCGTTAGTTAAGGAAAGCGATTCCTACGATGGCGAATTAGATCTAAGAGATGAAGAGATACTTAGGGAAGCACCGGAGGCATGTAACTGGCATTCGGGCTCAAATTGGCTGCACCGCATAGTTGATTGTGAGAATGAGTATTGTTTGTAGGATTGTGCAATCGACACATTGTGGGCCGGTGCCCGAGTGGTCTGTACCCCTGGTTTGCAATCATAAAGGTCATCGCTTTGAATCTGCGTAGGAATGCGCATTTTCGCGGTCTACTCAACCTGCACGCGACTAGTGGTGGTCGCACGGCAGCGGAATACCGTTATGGCATACAGCTGACACAACCTTATTATTTATTTTGCATGACTGACCTTGAAATCTGCGTGCGTCCCCTATACACCCCCCATCTAGGACCAAACTTATGTCTACGCACAGTTTGCTCTTTTTCATCCCATTGCACAAACCATGCTATGTCACACGCAGTTACAGGATGGTGTTATGTCTGCGAAACGGAACTTGAATCTCCTCTATGCGTTTATGTTTTACCCGCAAAACAGAGAACCAAAACCAACCATTATTACTGCATACGCATTTACTGAGGAAATTACCTCCAGCTGCTTCAGATGTTTCTGTTTTGTTGGATCACGTGCACTTTGGCATCACCAGTCTGCTCCTGCATTCTTGCTTAATCCTTGACCCGTATCATCCCATTCAGGACCGTGCTAAGCACAGTCGATTAAAGTTATCGATAGCGATCAACATTCATTGGTGCCTGTCACACTTCAGGCGTACTTCGTATTATCACACTCATTCCTGAATCCATCAACTTGGCTTGCTTGTTTAAATCTGATAGTGCCCGAATCCGTTCAATCGAAATACATCGTTGGATTAATATATTGTATTTGCAACAGTCTACAGATAGACAGCACCATCAAAAGTATATACATCGAAGGAAGATACAGTTGTCACGAGGAGGAAGCCGCGCACAACAAAGTCCAGTCCAGAGTTCCGTCAGTCAGAGGGCACGATACTACCCGGTTACCCAAGCCGGAGTAGGATGTTGACTAAAGAGACATCACTTGGAGCCTGTGGCTGAATATCCTACCCGCGAGACAGTGTGGCGGATTCAGGGAGTCGCTCACACTGGGAACCGATGACTGATTGCTTAGTTTGTACACTTTTCATCTGGTCAGTTGCCAACCAGAGACTCAATCTTCACAATTTCAGCATCGCTTTGCTGGAATACAGTGATCCACCAGACTGAAGCAAAGGGCAGTGACTTTATTTGGTGGCGAGTCACATCCACCACGTCACAGAGTTATTAAACAGACACGTGTGGCTTTTTTTACGGAGAACGCTTGCCGAGCGAAACTCCACCACGTTCAGGAACACTTCCACGGTTTCACTGGCTGGGACAGGATAAACCCGAATCACCCAACTGGGACCACGTCAGGGCTGCTCAACAAGGCAACCACGTTGTTCACGGTATCACGTTAGCCAGGCGCGCCGACACCATCAACTACTGACTATGAGAATATCAATCCGAATGCTTGGTAGGCCACTTGGGGAGTCCGTGTGACCACGTGCTGCGCTGTCTTCTACGTCATACCTTCAGTTCTCATAATTCTATCCTTCCCTACTTCTCAACGTTGCATTCCGAGGAGGACTATTTTTGTTTGATGTGATCCAGCTGCAATGCGGCTGTTTATGCCCCACTTTTTATGCAACGGCTGACCGTCAATGGGCTACTCTACCTTTGGAATTATATCACATTCTCTCCTTAAGCTAGATGTCGCATGATAGAACCCCATATCACTAATCGGTCTTCTTTTGTTGCAATTAATCCCCATGAAACTTCCAGCGCATTACAAATATTGCACTGGGACTGTGTCGCTAAATTATGCTGACAATTCCTAGTGGATGACACTAGCAGATCAGTACGGGGCTTAAAGTCGCCGTTTCCGGTATTGTTATAGACCAGCACAATCTACTCACTTGGGTAGTGCTTTCTCTTTAAAGGGCTTTCTACAATTGAAACGAAAGTGTTGGACAGATTAAACGTAGACTGGTCTTTTTCTGCCCGGATCCTCCATCTACTGGCGACCGTATCGAGTGGGGATCACCGAGCCTCATCTCGGTACTTGTGCCGGCTTTCATCACACTGTTACTCTGACTCGTAGCTCTCAAGCGATGCGAGCAGCACTCCCTCCAGGCATAACTGAAGCTTCTCGGAGGAGGATCAGGTCCGCAATAAGTACACTGTCCCCTTGGCGACCACTCTACGCCGACGATCGACGTGATGGATTAAACACTGACTTCATCCAATCATTCACACTGCTGTTTTCTGCACGGCTTCTTCCAATATATGTCCAATCTTGAATTCAATTCCTTCCTCCAACGGATAGCGATGTGTCATTGCAGTTAGTTGCTAGCGCATATGTCTTCAACCCTCTCTATGCATTACTTAATATCAACGAGGTTCTTCCAATATGATGATTTATAAGCGCAGTTTTACTGCTTGCTTCCTCCGAACAGTAAGATCAGCTTCCTTTCAGATGGACACTAATTTCTTAGTCACTGCCATGGAGATTGCTTGAATGAAACTGTTTCACTTCTATACTCATTCTTATGTAGGGATAGGATATTATTTTTGTACTATTCACATCTGTGCGTTTGTCATCATTGCCCCTACCTCGAATCATGAAGATACTGATTACATATATATATATATATATATATATATATATATATATATATATATATATATATATATATATATATATATATATATAATCGTCCATCATGCTTTCAGTGACTTGTCTTTCAAGCTTTCGCTAAAGTTGTTGGGGTGTGGCTTGTTGTCTTCTTGCCGCCCTATACTTACTTTCGTACTTCCTATGATCCCTAATAAGTATGGAATGACTTCAGCTCAGTGCGCGTGTCTAGTATAGAGTGCGATTGACCTGAACTACCTACCTCCTAATGCAATATCTGTTTCATTCTTGATTCATGTTAAAGTCATGATTCACTGATTCACTGTCCTATCTCCCTTCCACCAATTCCATTTCGATGTGCTGGTTAGGTCCATCGGCTGGTGATCGTTGAGGACGAAAAGGTGGCTGGTATCGTGTCACTTTCGGATCTGCTTCGATTCCTGATTGCCGAACCCTCCACCGCCGAAGCATTATCGTGAATTTCCCCGAGTCAACGGCGAATGCATTTTTTCTGCTCAATGCCACCGCCGCTGACGCGGACGTTCATGTGCAATCCGTCGTCTTTGCTCTTCTTATTACTGCTCCCAGAGGACAGCTATTTCAACCTCTCTCGGCTTCATACTTTAATGCCGCAGTTCAATTCACCATCTTATCCTAGTCCCTTCCGATAGTTTGACGTGGCACCGCTTTTGATCGCGTTTTTTCGATTCGACTTACTTTATTGTGCCTACCCACGCGCCTCCGATTCACTTTTTTCTCCACCGCTATTCCATACATTTATCTCACGCTAATTGGGTCTGCAAATTTCCCTTTTCTTGTCTACCTAACATGTGCCTCGCATTTCACTTAACCGCGCCATCTGGCAGCAGCTACTAACCCATTCAGTTCGGTTCAACGATTACCCATAATTCGTAAAACGAATTTCAGGAATCTAAGTACCTTTGAAGATGCCGAAGTGTGCGGCGTTATGCGTATGCCCACTGCGTATCGTCTGTGTGATACGCGCGTCCGACCCAACCCTGGCCATGTCTGCGTGTCTTGACTATTACAATTGGTGTCCCAGTTGTAGCTTTGCTCTGATAGAGTCAGATGCAAGCGACCGAGGCTTGTTCGTGTCCATCCCGATCACTTCAGTGCTCAGAATCAGGAATCTAGATCAATATATTGCCGTATACTCTAGGGATCTATTTCCGCAGACCATTTACTACCCGTAAAACCGTATGACAGCTGTTTTATGCTGTCTTACTTGGAACCCGCTGCGACGAGCCCTCAGCAAAATTATCTCAACAATTTTCTTACAACTAATCAAACCACTCCGTCATACTGCTTCTAAATGCTAAGTCGTACATAGCTGATAGGCAGGAATCCGTGACTCCAGCACCAGGTCCATCCTCCCTTACGTTCGTAACTTGCATGGCAGTGGAAGGTGGGCCTCTATGTCGGTTCGCTTGCAAATCATGACGGCCCGCTGCCGTAACCTAGTGGCACAAGCCGCTAGGTTCCAGTGGTCATGTGTTGGTCCCTGTGGGATGCGCACCACTCATCATCACCTATAGCAGTACAATAGCCATTTGAACTGCTGCGTCGCTGCCATAACTTGTAGAACAAGAAGCAATAAGGGGGAGAGAAGGGAAAAACCTTAATGCCCTAAGTAAACATTCAGAGTCAAGGTGTTTACACCTTATCAACAACATACTGTCGTACAAATATAATTCATAAATAATGCCCATGGAAGATTAAAACACAGTGTTGCAAAGAGATCTCTTTTCGGCAGATCACATCAGGCAAATACAACTACAGGACTGTAAAATGCATTAGTAAACTGGTGCAAGTAACAATGAGGACGGATGGGACGATTTGAACAGTTTTAGTATGTTCATTTGATGCTCGAATCGATTTAATCAGGTGACATCGTGATCGGGCTAACCGAGAGCTAAAAAACTTGTGTAAACAGAAAGGGCAAAATTACTAACCAAATAAAATTAGTTAATTACGCAAATAAATAGCACCCGGTTAAGCGAGATACTCCGGGGAACCTTATCATCAGGGCCATGGCAAAGTCAAGGGTTGCACGAGCACCCTATGCTTGCATAGCTCTGGTTGTGTTAGCCTGATCGCGATGGCTTCAGCTGTCTGCAGGAGGCGTTTCCTTAGCCCTTTCGGGTATCGCCTCGGTACGGCATAATAGACTTTGAAAGCATCTTTTGTCAGAATCTGATGCCCACTAAGAATCAGATGCTCCATAATTGAGCTGTTGATACTTCTGTGCATGCCTCTCCGCAATGACCCTGGACAATGTTCAGCTATTCGAAACTGTTAATTTCATCTGTGAGTATATAACGGAAAGGAACCTAAACGTTGGCATTCCGGTGCCCAAGCTCAAGGAGTTAATCTTGCGGTGTACCTTTAATAGACAGTTCCTGTTTGACGGAATCTATTACAGACAAATCGATGGCGTGGCTATGGGGTCCCCCCTTGGACCTCTTCTTGCCGACATCTTTCTCGCTAAGCTTGAGCGCGGTCCCATCCAAAGGCTTATTGCCTCATTTGATTCTTATTGGAGGTATATGGATGACACTTTCATCATCTGTGATTCGCACATTGATGTCAACCATTTGCTGGACCAGTTCAACAGTGCACACCCCTTAATAAAATTCACTAGTGAAATGGAGAATGAAGGTAAGCTGGCTTTTCTGGACGTTTTGTTGAGGAGGCGCGAGGACGGATCACTTGAGCGTAGAGTCTTCCGCAAAGCTACTTGGGTAGGACAGTACACACACTTTTCGAGCTTTGTCCCTCTGAGGTACAAACGCAACTTAGTACGTTGCTTGAATTACCGGGCCACCAAAATTTGTAGTCCCGAAACTCTCGAAGACGAGAAGGACCGAGTTGTGAAAACACTTCTTGCGAATGGATACCCAGAGCCTTTCATCAAAAAGCATGCCATGACCCGTGAGCGTGATAAGCCCGTAGCAACGGTTCCGAAGAAGGATGTGTTTCTCACTGTTCCTTTTAAGGGAGATATCGCCTTCGATCTCCTGAACAGAAGACTTTCTAATGCCGTAGCAAGAACCTACCCGGCCGCCCAACCGCATGTAGTTGCAGAGACCGCTCCCTTCATAGCTCAACGCCTTAAAGACAGACTGCCAGTGTCGTCCGAATCGTACATTGTTTACCAGTTTACTTGCACCTGTGGTGCAAAGTACCTCGGGCATACGACCAGGCGTCTGTCGGTACGAATAGCTGAACATTGTCCAGGGTCATTGCGGAGAGGCATGCACAGAAGTATCAACAGCTCAATTATGGAGCATCTGATTCTTAATGGGCATCAGATTCTGACAAAAGATGCTTTCAAAGTCTATTATGCCGTACCGAGGCGATACCCGAAAGGGCTAAGGAAACGCCTCCTGCAGACAGCTGAAGCCATCGCGATCAGGCTAACACAACCAGAGCTATGCAAGCATAGGGTGCTCGTGCAACCCTTGACTTTGCCATGGCCCTGATGATAAGGTTCCCCGGAGTATCTCGCTTAACCGGGTGCTATTTATTTGCGTAATTAACTAATTTTATTTGGTTAGTAATTTTGCCCTTTCTGTTTACACAAGTTTTTTAGCTCTCGGTTAGCCCGATCACGATGTCACCTGATTAAATCGATTCGAGCATCAAATGAACATACTAAAACTGTTCAAATCGTCCCATCCGTCCTCTTTGTTACTTGCACCAGTTTACTAAGGCATTTCACAGTCCTGTAGTTGTATTTGCCTGATGTGATCTGCCGAAAAGAGATCTCTTTGCAACACTGTGTACAAATATAAGTCGGCACCAGCGAGACAGCTTTTTTGCGGCTTTCACTGCCGCGCGTCGTAATGAGCCATTACCCCACGGATAACAGCATCAAACACGCTTTAAACAGGCAGTCCGACTAGGAGATGGCAGTAGACGTGCCACTGGTGTCGTTTGCGAGCCATATCCTGTAACGTCTCGAGTTAAACACAAGGCGAGGCACGTGGACTTCAGCCTCGAAGGCGAAACGGACAGACAGCACCGAGTTTTCTCGTCAGTGACTTCATTCCCCGCTGCCAAGTCAACTGTTGTCCACCTCGAACCTTGCACCACCCGACTGGCAGACAAAAAAGGCCCTTGGACTAGTATATGCCCAAGGCAACGCAACTTATTCAGTGCTGCCTATTGTTCTAAGGAACTAGCCCGGTTATCACTACCTAGTTCTCGCATACGCACATCATCCTTGCGGACACGTTGGTGCTAACCGACACCAGTAATGTTCCGCAAACAGTGATGCTCAAAGACTAAAAGGCGTCTCCGATCGAAGGGGTCAAGTTTCACTACCATGGCCTTTGACGGCTTTCACTGTGGCCTTGTAAACACGGTCTTTTAGACGGAGGGAAACTCTTTCTCCGTTGCCAAAGATGTCGCAGATTCAAGAATACATCTCTGACTTTTGTAATACGCGCACTTACTTCCGTGTTTATGCGTCCATTATTGCTGATGCAGCTGCCAAGGTAAGTGAATTGATCAACTACCTCGAATTCCTCGCTATTAAGGGTCAAGAAATCATCAAATGGCTGATCCTCCTGCAGCGACACCGCGAAATAATGAAACTACTCTGGAGAGGTTATTCAGGGGTGATTGCGCCGCCCCAGCATCGTTAAACAACGGGACAATATCATCCGCATACTCATGCTCAACTGGCCTTTCAGCAGGCAACACTACTGATGCACCACAGTAGGAGAAGACCACTGTCTGGTGTTTTTCTGGACGCACAGTAGGGCCTCTAAATTGGAAGGTATTGCGATCAGCGTTAAATAGAATAACTAAACGATAGAATCTATTTTTTTACCTTAAAGCACCCAAATTTCTCTATGTATACAACCAGAAAACTTATTTGGCTTAGTGGCGTTATTTCCTTTCTAATACGGCCTCCCAATCAGCTGAATTCAGAGCATCGATTCCAAGCTGGTAGCTAAATAAATCCACCGGGATTGTTCAACTCTCCATCTTCCACAAAGGTATCCAAGACGACTATCACATCGCTCTCGGGCTCCACTGATCATCCTTCATTCCTTAAATGTGCGTATATTTGTTACGGTAAACTGTTGTGTGTAGCCGCGTAATGAACTGAGTGCTTCGAGTCAAGAAAATGTCGGGATTGCGCTATCGGTTGTTCATCTCTTGGTATGCACGGTTCCTCAGCCCCCTACAAGTACTTTAATCTCGGTATTTCCTGTTCTTCGAATGTGTTTGTGTCAATTCCTGTTTGGCCGTGTGGATGGTACGTATTTCCAGTTATCCAAACACAAGCCGGAAACTTAACAGAAGATACGCGCTCCAAAAACAATTGTTTAAACACGGTTCAAGTGCGCAGAAACCATATCTGTGTTCAAAGTCCCATATAGGGGCCGTAGCCTTCTGAAACGTCCAAATCACTCTTCGGCAGTGTTTCATTGTGAGCTATCAGTCG